GTATTTTTCATTTCTAGTCAAACCTAAAAGACAAGCTGGAAAGAAGATATTGAATATAGATATAAATCGTCAGTGCAATTTTTTACCCAGTCTTGATAATCCCAAGAAACAAAGTCTGTTTAATGTAAAGGATTTTGTCGTAATAACTGTGAAAATTCAGTTATGACAGCAGGTGTTCTCGACAAGGGTAAGTAAGCATGTCCTGCCCTACCGTAGCTCTCACCATTCACAAAATGTACCTACAAATTGAAATATGTTCAGCCTGAACAGTAGGGCTGCGCAATATAACCGGTTTACCGGTATATACCGGTTCAGACATGAAAACGATACGTATTGCGATACGCTGATTGAAAACCGGTATTTTGACATGCATTCGAAAAGACTTCGTAACACTCGGAAATCTTCGGATATTTCCGTTTTATAAATTGTTCCTTTCCTTTTTTCAATTTTTGCCAAATATTATTTACATTTTTATTTTGTCATGATTAAAAGTTTTTATTAAAGCTAAATCAAGCATGGTGATTTTTGTGTGTTTTTGCTTTATAAATCAAGCATTAACTCGATTATAAGTAGTTTTTTGTTAAAAAAGAACTTCTTGCAATATATTGCAATTCATATCGCAATATATGCTTTCGCATCGCAATATATTGCAATATGAAAATTCTCTGCAATACCCAGCCCTACTGAACAGTAGCAGTAGTGAGTGAGTGAGTATGGTTTTACCCCGCTTTTAGCATTATTCCAGCATCATAACGGCGGGCAATGGGCTTCACACATTTTACCCATGTGGGGAATCGAACCCGGGTTCGTGACGAGCTAACGCTTTAGCCACAAGGCTAGCCCACCGTCCCTCATAGCAGTATTCCTACCATGCGACGGCGACTTGTTAACAAACCTGACAAATGATCGAGGAACTGAAAAAATCCTGTTAGATAATTTGGAATTGTGACTGATGTGTAGAACTACATGGATTCACATGCTAATAAGTACAGAAAAACGTTTGTAATAGGTTTGTTTAAAAACACATTGAAAAACAAAAACAATGATTGCAAACCTGAGCCTTTATAAATAAATGATTTGGAGTGACTATTGTCTTTGCTCCAAATTTAAAATTGATCCGATCAAAGGCGGTCAAATATTATCAAGTAATTATAATTAGTTTTATGCTAGTGTTTCTTTAATGTCACTTTCCGCAAAGTCTTACTAGTTATGACAAAATGACTGATGTGAATAGTTGGTAAGGCTGCTGCAATGAACTATTGTCTCAATTTCTGTGGTTGTATGATATTTAAGCTGTTCCAAACCCATACCCGGTATAATGAACTACAATGTTATGTTAACAGGTCGTCTACACTGTGTAGACCCATCATTCTCTTCAAGAACGAACACACGTACTTAATGTGGAACCGCTTCTCCTGATTCAGACTTTTCAATTCATATACTACCGACATCAGACATATAAATCATGACCAGATATTGGTGCACAGACAGATAAAACTGTCGTCGTCCCACGAGTCGGCATAAATCAAAACAAGAGTTTCAGATACAAACCATAAGTTGCAGTTGTCGTAATCCTGATACTCTTCTCTGCCGAGTTCAGCTTTATGTTGCCTTTGGGTAAAACCACTGGACCAGGATATTGGCTGGGACTATTAACACACTCGAGAGACAGCAAGGTCCATCACTATTGTCATTAGTTTCAGATTTATTACTTCCGTCGCACGTATCGACCATCAGCAACGTAAAGGTTCTGTTGGACGGTAGAGTTTAGGTGAATTATGCCTTAACATATCTAACAACTCCAATGTATGTATAACGTTGAGGAGGATGAAGATGCCATGTTCCTTTACAATTAGTAGTTTATGAATGTTTAAGAGTATAGAATCCACATGGAAAACGTTATACATGTACTTGTGTATCGTATATGCTGTCGTTCTTATTTCAGGGGGCGTTGGTGTAGCCTGATGGTTAAAACGTTCGCGCGTCAAGCGGTAGACCCGAGTTCGATTCCCAAAATGGGTACAATGTGTGAAGCCAATTTGTGGTGTTCCCCGCCGTAATACTGCTGAAATATTGCTAAAAGCGGCGTAAAACTAAACTCAACTCACTCACTCTTATTCCAGACTGTGTTTACCTCCATGTTTTAATGACAAATTACCAGCCTCTTGACAATTCGATAATAATATGATGATAAAAACTCATGCATATCTTCAAGTTAACCAAGAATGGAACTCATTTGGAGTTATGGACTGATATTGCCATAGTCACGTTCTTTGGGTTTCGATAATTATAAATTATTTCTTTTGCATTATATGTTTTATACATATAGATAGTATTGATTGGGATGAAACGTCTTCTAGCTGTATTTTGGACACATGATAAGTACAATGTCTTCCAAATTCCAAGACATCAATTTCACGCGGTATAATGACTTCTACGTACATTTATCGTCAGAAAGGAGTTGAATATTTGAAAAGAACATGAACGCACAGAAATATAGTGTTCTTTACGCTAAATAGTTCATACAACCATCATGTTAAACATGTGTTACTTTATTCTGAAAGTCACTTAATTGGTTGCCAGTTAATTCAAACTTACGGTTGATTAGGTGGAAGCGACAAATCCTATGCATGATCGAATGAAAATTTGATCCTCATATTTATGGGTGGGTGAGTGTGTGAGATGTGTTTAACATCGGTTTCTGCAGTATCCCAGTTATATCGCGATGAGTCAGCTTTATACGGGAGCAAAGCCCAAAATGTTGCATGTTCGATATGTTTATAACTTTGGAGAAACCCAAGCACTGGTAATTTCAGCTACTAGGGAATCGAACCAACATTAGATTCTCAAGCTGTACGCCGTCCGGTATTCCGATAATACGCAAATGAGATCCACGACAATTTTAACAAACACGTTTCATCGATGCACTCTTTAGTTGCTAAATAGAGCTATTGCTTACATTCCCAAAATGTTCAGATGTGTGTTTCCCGAGTTCAGTTTTTCCAGTAACATGGTGTTTTTGTCGCATTGCACGTATCACGTATATCAGGAACACGAAACGGAGATCATTTAGATATCACTGAGACATCTCTGAGTACTCCACCCGTCAACATTTCCTGACAGAAATGTGTAAGTGATTCCCCTTATTGCAGGATTATGTAAACGGAATGACAAGTTAATGACATTCAAATCTTCATGAGAATTATACCATGTGACTGTACCTACGTGAAATATATCTAGGAATTGACGTCAGAGTTTTGTTCTGTTCAAGGATTGGTAAAAATGTCAGATACTCTCTTGTTATCTGTGACCTTTTAGTTGATAAAGAAACTTGTAAAATAATATAACTAAACGTGAAACGACAGGAGACCTTTTCTGAACATAAATCGTTCCATCATATGGCGAGACTAGGTAATAATTATTAACAGATTACGCAATTCTGTCAGCTTTCAAGATGTCCTCAATCTGGACACCAACACTAATGTCATTGACTTTGGTTATATCATCGCCATTCCAATACATTCCTTCTGGATCCATGATATTGTGGATATATTATGTGATGACAGATAATGCAAGAGCTCCCTTCGTTTTCAAAATTATAATTAAGTATGCAACTGGGGCGAAGAGAAAGTATGCGAAATGCAAAGTGTTAGCTCCGGAACAGTGATGTATCAAAGAGCATTACTCTCTTAACCACAAAAATATATATAAAACTTCAAAACCTCTGTACATAATAGATGACCTGTCGGAAACTAATCAATATACTTTCCTATATCTGACAATATCAATGTTTTGACATTTCTCGTGAATCTTGCCTATTTCGAAGAATGTCTATGTGTCTCTCTTGTCATTACCGAAATGGTTTTCTCGCTTCTACTTTTGCAAACACTACTATTTCTTGCAGATCGGTGTTAGCACCCTAAAGTGATTTATGATCACACAGCTCAGCCAGCGTTTTAAAGAATAAATACATCTGGATGTTTGAAGGGCATTTCTATTTGTATGACAGAACAGAAAAAACATATGTCATGTCGTTTCGTCGGCAGCGTCGTTAAAAATGTTTTATTCATGTTTTTTTAGTTAGAAGTCACAAACGCTTCGGGGAAGGAGATGGCATGTTGTAAATGTTTAGCTCAACTTTTATCACGGCATCAACACTGCATGTCTAAAGAAATGAAATAAGCAAACTTCTATAAAATCCATTCTCCCCAGTATGCGCAATGCAAAGAGAAAAAGGTAATAACTAATTTGTTACTGACACTCAAATTCTGTCGTTTTAGGTAACACTTTACAGTTGAAATTCTCGTCAATTAACACAGTTTATCTTTAATCATCAATTCAGGGGCAAAAACAAATGCAGCCAAGAATAATATGTACTCCTGCACCACCATTTGGGCATAAACCCGTATAACAGCTGGCAACACACCTCGCGAGCGCCACCTGCATAACGACTGTGACGAAACCCAAGTGCTGCATCTTTTTATCGAACAAATTGCAGTTATTCACTGAAACCGAACGAACAAGGTGTGCAGAAAACTACCCCATGAGAATGGAGCATAAAACACGCGAAGACCTGTCCTTTACTCTTTACTATCCGGACGCCTCCCATATCACCGCAGAGCAGAGAGATATAAAGAATGGGATATTGCAGAGGGGTATAACACAGGAGTATGTTGCTCGAATTATGGGAAATGCACCGACATTCTGGCCGAACAGCAGACATACTTAAGACCCAAAAGCCAAGGGGCATAACCCAGCATGGGGATTTCCGGGTGCTTCTCTAAGTTTTTAAACAAATGAAATAGATATGGTTTATTCCTGGATACCTATGCAAACTATGCCATGTGGGCATGTTCTAAGGCATGTCGGGTGAAGGGAAAAAGAGAAATTAAAAGATTTATAATGCAGTTTGATCACTTCATCTGTAAACGATCCTGTAAATATCAAGTCACTTGTGAACATCAACTGAACTCGAAGTGTTAATTGGGGATGGAAAGATTTAAAATATGGAATGCTTCACGAAATTGCGTGTCATCCTTGCGCAGGGGCCATGTTAATCCTTTCTGTATCATTCCAAATTTCTCACTGTAGTGTCATCCGCCACAAACAGCCTTGGTCATCCAGTCAGCAGGAGGACATTGTCCAAACGACTTGCCCTCAAAGCCTATCGACCGTTGAAGGACATGACGTTGACGCTTGGACATCAACATAGACGACGTAGATCACGTTGTTGCATTCTGGAGGTGGGAATGGCTGTGTGATGGTTGGGAGGCATTTGCGGAGACAGGAAGACCGATCTAATTGTTATTGATTGAAATCTCACTTTTGTCGCATGTATTGATGTATTGTGTTCTTGATGTATTGTGGGCAGGTTCTACGGCCATTCATCCAACAGAACCAACGCACATTGTTTCAACACGACAATGCCACCCCCTAGTGTCAAAGGACCTGTTTAAACGACACCAAGATTGCCGGCAAGAACTCCTAACATGACGCACCTCCGGGATGTCGAGTTCGACAACTTCAACAGCCCCCGTTGACCTGGAATGCGTTGGGATGCTCTATTGAAGGAGTGGCGTCTGATTAGTGGTCACCTTGTCAGAAGACTTGTGCAGTCCGTTCGACGTCGTGTTAGGCAAGCATCGACGATCGAGGTGGGCACTACTGTTCTGACGCGTCCGTGTTTTGGCTTGTCATGTACTTGTGTGCACGAATACTGGGCTGTCAGTTCCCATGTCACGTGTCTACAGAACTGTAAATGCAAGCCTGTTGAAAGATTTTCTTTAATATAAGTGTTTACGCAGTGGAATTACTAAAATAATTTGTGAACGTGAAAAAACGTGCTTAACTAAATGGTAAATAAACAACGTTCTTGCCACTCCGACCACCAAACTAAATATGATACTTTTTCTAAACTACATGATATCTGATAAGATACACAACTATAATTCTAAATTGTTTAGTATCTATACTATGCCCGAATATGGCAAACTATTTGTGTAATCTAACGACCAGTGTCTCACTGATCAAAATTGTCGACCATCCACTTAGCCGTCAGAAACTTATGTGCTCGACCCTGCACATGCAGAAAGTGACTGCACGAGGCGTTACGGTTGCGTTTTGATGCAACGTTCATGGTTCTTGTAAAGATGTGTTTTGGCTATGTTTTTTTCACCTATCAGATATAAAAAACCAAAGAAACTAACTTTCTCTCCAGAACAATAAGAAAACTAAAATAAGCTATTGTTTGTGTTGTTTGCGAGCTGAAAAATGCATGTTGGCGGGGGATTTCGCCACACAATTTATAATTTTAAAAAAGGTTCATATGACGAGAGGTGGAGTGGGATTAAACGCCTTCCAGTTCAAGATTATTGCACTTTGTACTGCGACATGCGTACAGGCTTGGTTTAACGAGGACACTAAACCTAGAAATAGTATACCGACCAGTCGTTTGGTAGTCCAAAACAGAAATATAGAATTGCTTTAAATTTCTGTAGAAAGGCTGCAGGGGCCACCTTATGTTTTCATAAAATCAGTAAAAGTCTTAATGGTCGTTCAAACAATTACAATATAATTTAAATTATGTTAACTCTTGGTTATATTAAATATGATACTGCACTTAGTGTTGTTAAATACCAATCGAGTGATAAGCTGGACAAGGAACAAGGACTAAGTTGCATCTGATAACCATCATAAGCGGGTTTCTAAGAGCTGTATTTATGTATTTTATCCTTGTCCTTCATATGCGCATCTGTTTCTTTAAAGTTGCAGATCCCCTTCGAAATAGACAATGTGTACGAGGTGAGCTACAGAGCCCTTGACTTCCAAGTGCAGTTTCTCCAAAGCACAGTTACATTTTTGTTCGAGTAACAGCGCTCGATATGATATGCGTGAACTATTATTTGAAGCTATAATCCAAATCAGTTTCCTACGGGCAGTGACCGTTTGACTGTGAACGTACATGCCACGTTAACGCTATACGTTCATTGTTCGTACTTCGTCTGTATCATAGTTATAATTTCAGATCAATAGTTACAGCTCCAATAGCTCTGGTAATTCCCCCAGAAGGAAACTTTCTTTCATACTGCAACAGTTCTTAACGGTCTGATCCTCTATACAACCTAGTGCGCCAGGGTCGCTTATTGAACATTTAAGTAAATCAGATTCAAGAGATGAAACTTGCATTTTTTTTTTCTAATATGCAGTGCAGGTGGAAACTGATCTCAGATCCGACATTGGTGCGTTTTTATGTGGTGCAGTAATGTGACTCATATTACGTAATGCATTGCAAGTTTTCAAACATGCTGCTGCTGGCAGTACCAATGCCAAATGGTGAAAAAAGGCATTCACCAGTTTGAAACATGGTGACATTGACCTAAACCAGTGTGATCAATCATCAGATAAAACTTAAAAATAAGGCTACATCAATCAGAAAAAAATAGTGAGACAAGATTAACCTGGAAGATTAAAGATTAAACCTGATCAATAATGATGATTTTGGTTTTTATAATTAGTTTGGTGATGCTATATTAGAATATAAAGTATAAAATGAAATCATATCAGTCTTAAATGCAATGTGCCGGTTCAAAGAGGTTGTTTTCACAGTTGGAATTGAAATGTGTCAGAAGAAGACAAATACTTTTTTCTCTTTCATTTGATGATGAAGCGAAGGTTGACAAAGACGATGTTCATTACAGTATTATATAAATAAATACCACATTACACTTGCCTAAAGACTGCACCTTCGCACATTGTATGTAGTATTTCTACCCACCTGAGGTAAATGTTAATGAAAACATGCACTATCGATAAATCACTGACGATTAGCACCTCTTCTGGCGACCTTCATCTTTTTGTCAAGCAGTAATGTGGCTTTAAAGCAAATTAGGGCAGCAAAACCCTTTCCATAGAAACCAGACAACGTCGTCGAAGAACCGAGTTCGATTCGCCATATGGGTACAGTGTGTGAAGCTCATTTCTGATCTCCCCAGCTGTGATGTTGCTGGAATATTGCTAAAAGCGGCGTAAAACTATATTACTCATTCACTCAGTCACTCACACAGAGCATTGAGCGATTAATGTCATCTAATTGTGATGACACGTGATGTTCGGGACACACGTGATTTAAAGGTTCGTTTGGCATCTGCTCAGAACACCTTCATAACTTGTTCTTACATTATAAGTCACACAACAACCCGTTGTTTATTTGCATTACACCCTTAAGTTCACCTTGAAGTATCTATATACATAACATTAATATTTTTAGGATAAAAGTCTAAGGGAATCACCAATGCACATTGAAATGTTGCTACATGGACGTTTCCTGTTTCCCCAGATCAGATCAATTTGCAACAATGAATGTGTCTGTAAAGCTTTCAACAAGGCTTGCTGTAGCCCTGTGGAGGACATTTTCTAAATTTGGTGCATCAGTGAATAGCTCTCCTCTACACTCGTACGATACGTTCCCGTGTTGTTGTTTGGGTTTTTTATCTTTCTGTGTTTTTAATGTTTTGTTGTTTTGTTAGGGTTTTTGTTTGCAGTTTTGTTACTTGGGCTCCTCTTTCCTTCATTTTTTTTCATTATTGTCTTCGTTTTTCATCCCTATCGACCCGACAATCCAGTGATCAACAGCATGAGCATCGATATGCGCAATTGGGAACCGATGACATGTGTCAACCAAGTCAGCGAGCCTGACCACCTTATCCCGTTAGTCGCCTCTTACGACAAGCATGGGTTACTGAAGATCAATATTCTAACCAGGACTTTCACGGGTGTCTGTCATGGTAGGAGAAGGAGGGTGTGGGTCGGGATCCAGGTATATAACCGAAACTGATTTGTGTTTACATCAAATACATGCTCTTGATGCTCTTGGTCTCGTGGACATTTCCTCCAGGTATCTTGAAAGACGTTTGCTGCTTGTGTCTATATTTATTGCTTTTCGTCGTTGTGTGTGACATCAGATTTTAGTTAGATACATATAATGTATACTTAGAATACCATTCGCCTGCTCGTGTTTCTTTTGGGTTCCATGTAAACCAGACAGGCCATATTCGCAACTCTGTTCTATTTCCTGTTCTAAGAATAGCATTGGAAACCCGCCAGAGAGAAACCTTTTCTTCATCTAATCACAGTGGTAGTCTTGAGTGGCAACCTGTGACTCTGTGATTCTGTAATTGGAAATTCTTACTTCCTTCACTTACGGGCCTGACGGATGCTTCGTTTCACGCTACTCGAAGGTATTACGATATCGAGCATTTGACAGACTCGTGTCCAAGCAACTAGTCCTTTTCTGTCACAAGTATGGCCAAAACTGTGTTACATGTGTCATAATTAAAAAATACTGTCTTTGGGTTTCTCCCGGGGCACATATATACGATGTCAACTTCTTATTTCAATTCTTTAATAATTATGTACTTCACACAGGCTTTCATATACTGACTATAAACCTATTCAAAAGCATAAAATGATCGCCCTTGGAGCGATTAGTCAATGTTTCAATCTCTACACTGGTTAGAATTGGTCCTCAGCAACCGATATTTGTCGTATGAGGCGACTGACGGCATCGGGTGGTCAAACTCGTAGACTTGGTTGATGCATCTTATCCCATGATTGATGCTCATGACGTCAATCACTGGATTGTCTGGTTTAGACTTGATTATTTACAGACCGCCGTTATATACTGGGAGGACTGTTGAGTGTGGAGTTAAACAACAAACACATATACAATCTCGAACAACTCTTTGCAGTCGTGAATGAGTATAGATTCAAGATACCTAACAGCAACAGTGCACCAACTCGACTGGGGACAGCAGTCCATTCCATTGGCATCCTTCTGGCCGCCATACACTGGATGCGGCCCAAGAATTAACCCGACTGTCTTCCCAGCCTGCAAACGTCTACCTGATAGACTCTCTCGCTCCAAAAATATATTGCTAAAATGATGCTGCAAAAACATGATTTTATAATACATGCAATAGATCTTCCAAACATGTTCACATAAAGCATCACAAAGAATCTCCAATTCATGTGCAATCAGTACGTGAAAATTATACAATAAACATTTGAACCTTCAAATGATTATGCAAAATTTCACAAGACCCTTT